CAGTTCACGCAGATAGGGCCTGATGTCATCCGGCGTGCTGCTCCAGATTTTGCTTCGAAGGTTAGCCTCTCGAAAGGAGCTCTGAGGCTCTAACAGTAAGGGTCCCTTAAAAACCTAGGAACCAAATGATTAGTGCGAGCGAGTCTTCAAGGAAGCTCTCCCAAGCCCTCAGGCAAGGGAGAGCTTCTTTGAAGGGTGAGCTATCCTGGTCGCTCGCCTCCAGCTTTTTACGGCGTCCTAGGAAGTCTGCGCTCCTGCCCCCGAATGAGCGACCCACACCAACCATTGACACACGCCTCTGATTTTTGTTTTGTGTACGTGTAATTATGTGATCAATTATGTGCTTAGAAAGGCATTCTCGTGTTCAACTAAATTGTCATCAAACTCAAAGTGGAATGTGATTGCCATCATCGCTTGCACCTCCCATGCAAGTAGCTCGCCGTGAGCCCCAGAATCCGCGGCTGATTATCAGCACGGTCTCTCCATTGCTGAGGATCCTGCCTCGGGTGACGGATGCGAGGTCTGTAGAGGCAATATCTATAATCAGGAAAGGACTCAATTGAAGGAAGAAAACAGGAAAAAAAAATAAAGTCGGACAAGGAGTTGAAAGAGATCATTCTTTCGAGCTGGAACAGTTTTCGGTGTTGATCGGTGCTAAAGCACCTTGACAGTCTACATGGGTCCAGGGTGCATGATCGCCACGAAGGGATGGCTGCCCACGGCATGGTGGCCTTGAGAAAAGACGCTGCTGTCTTCTACCAACGATGGCCTCCAACCTAATAGCGATGGCCTCCAATTTTAAGAAAAACTGTTTCCGATTCCCATTTACCTGGGTTTGTAAAGTGGTACTCTGGAGCCACGCGGCATTCATCAAAAACGAGGAGGCTCAAATTCTCCAGCCGAAGGAAAGCTCGATCAACCAATGCCTTGCCAGTGGTGAGAAAACATGATGGATATCCCATTTGGTCAGAAATGCTGGCGATCTTCCATTAATGTTTGATTTGCCTCACTCCCGACAAGCGCATCTCAAGAAGAATTGACCCTATAATACCATGTTGAAGAACAAACCAATGCGTTGTTGCTTTCTGGGATCTCCTATTCCTCACCCTCACAACACAGCCTGCTTGAAGATTTGGCCAGTTCCAACAAAGACGTGGTAGTTCTTCGACTGCTCTTTCCACCCTCGCATGAACGCAGCAAGAATTGCAAAGCGCGCAGGAGGGTTTGCTGCTAAGCTCCACACATTCATCACTGGATGAACCGCTCGTCTTTCCAGTGACCTCGAGGACTTGCAAATCCTTCACCTGAGACGTACTCAGAAGAATACAAACATAGCTTCTTGTTACTAATAGCTTCTTGTTACTACTAGTAAGGCACTTGTTACTAGTAGCGATGCACTTGTTCCTAGTAGCATGCAGAAGGACCAGAAGTCTCAAAATCCGAGAATAATGCAAAAGCCAAGAGAAACACCGAGACCCTGATTGACCACTATTTTAGACCACAAGGCATCCAAATATGTTTTTTAGTTTTTCCATTTTACCACTAACGCAGGGGAGAAATGGGTTCCAGGCATTTCATTTGCGAGTATGCTGCGTCTTGGAAAACGTGGTAGCGCTCGGATTCGATGTGTACATGAGTTTCCAAGAGTAAGTTGCCAAGAAACTGTTGTTTGCTCCTGAATCACCTTGCAATGCTGCTTGGCCAGAGCCACTGTGGGCACCTGAACCGCGCTCTGGTGCACCTCTTTTCGATGCTTGACCTTTACTTCTTATCTTCACGATGTCTTCACTTTACCTCTCATCTTATTTTACTTTGTTTCTTCTTTTCGTCATTCCTTTGTGTTCTCGTTTCCCGGAGCCAGGAGCTGAGAAGATGGCGCAAAGCAAGATCTTCTTGCCAGGAAACTTTCGGTAGAAGTGATCTATGCCTGACGAATTTGATGACCGTTGTTTGGTCCCTCAATCTGAAGTTTGCAGTGGAAAAAACACGAATTCCCTGTTTGGTGGCGTATTTAAGCCTTGTTATGTCTGTAATCTTCCTCATGGCAAGTCCTCTCGAGGGGTTGCGATCAATTCCGCGTCGCCGAGTCGCTCATGATCGCCACCAAAGTCTTCCCAAGACCCGTGTCGAGGTTCACAATGGTGTTCTGCTCGCAAACATGCCTATGTAAGGAGTCTCACAAAGGGCACGTGTTATTCCCTTCCGATGAAATCTAGAATGCGATGGCACATGCAAAGGCATGAAAGCTGCCTGAAGGCTTCCTGCTGGTATTTCCGTGGAGTCAACCTGGAGGGTTCCTGGAGCCATTGGAGGCAACGACCTGTCTCTCCAAAAAGAACGGTTTGTGCATTACAATGCCAACATATGCCAACAAGGCCGCCACTGTCACCCAATTCGGATTTGGAAGAATCAACCGAAAGACTCGGCCAGAATCGAATCCAGATCTTAACACAGTTGGACCGGCAAAGAGGTTTCTGTGAGACAACCTGCAGGATGTAATATCAATATATAGAAGAGGTGTTTGCTTGCAGTCACCAAAAACGTTCAAAAGACCTGGATCATTTCTGTGACTGAGAAAATAAAGAACGCTTGAACTCTGGGTTTCAAAGCTTCTCCTTCTCCGCTTCCTCCGCTTCCTCTTCTTCCTCTTTCACTTCGTCAAGAATATCATTCTCTTCTGATGCAGACTTCCTCCGGAAGAGCGGAGGCAAACTAAACAAAGACGTCGGCGCGCACGCATGCGAAAGCTCCCCAAGCTTGGCCGAGGGAAGCCGAGGGAGGAGAAAAACCCAGTCACTGTCGCCCACCTCGACAAGCTAAAGACATTGACAGCAAGAGGCTTGAAATCCTCCTGCAAAGAAACAGCAACAGAATGGTTCACAAAATCCCAAAATGTTTCAGTTCACAAGAATAAACAATCGGCAATCAAATTCAATCCGAGTCGGATTCGCCTGATCAAATTGGTGATCAGTCTTCCGATTTAGTTTGCAGAGAGGGCACCAACGGTTTGTTGTGCAACCTTGGCAACCATAGTGGAGAACTCGTTGGCACGTGGTGACTTTTGGTGTGCTCTCGTTTGAGGCTTCATCTCTCACAGAGGGCACGGAACCCAAGCACAGTGTGATGTGGCCCTTTGGGGACGTCCTGATCGCAGGCCGAAAAGACTCACACTGCCAAACATGAATGTAAATAATGCTGCCAATTTCGAAAAGAAAGGAGTGAGTGGAGAAGAGGAGACGAAGAAGGAAAAGCAGAAGCAGGAGAGAAAGGAAGAAAGACAAGATAGGAGAAGCCCAAGCTGGCCAAGAAGGAATCGCGGAGGCAAGGAAGGAAAAGAAAACAATTGAAAAAACGATAGGGTACTAGTACAAACGCGAAAAGAAAGCATCACAGACAAAGCAGGCCAAACAAGGGACCGAGGAGAAAACAAGGCATGGAAGGGGACATTGTAAATAACATGACAGAGAGAGAGAGAGAGAAACAAATGCAAAAACTGAAAGAGGATAGAGAGAAGTGAAGAATGGAATTGCCAGAGAACATTTGTATAGAAAAAGGACGGTTAGTTTGGAGGCCATTTGTTGAATTCAAAAAATGCATTTCAAAGAAAACAACGAAAGGCACAGAACGGAAGGACTGCTGACTTTCAAGCAGGGAGAAGCAAACATGCAAAACGAGCTGCAAGAATGTCAAAAGAGCCAAAAAAAGGAAGAGTGGCAGTGGACTTGGAAAGTGTGAGACAGGAAAACAGATAGAACAAGGACAGAACAAGAGGAAGACAGCATTAAAAGTATTGAAGAGGAAGGCTAACAGGAGAGATAATGAATGGAAAAGGGAGATGAGATAATTTTTGCAGGGAAAGCGGAGAAGGACGGTAAGAGGATTGAAAAGATTGACAAAAGCAAGAAAGCGACTGCAAAAAAGGACAGCGGCAACAGTCAAAACACCGGGGAGAAAAGATAGGAAGAGTGGGTGAGAGGATGACGATGGGCGTGAAGCAAAGAGATGCAAGAGGAGAGACGACAGGGACATTGGTTGCTTAAAGTCGCAAGTAAATGGCCTCCAACCTACTACCAAGCTACTAGCAATGGCCTCCAACCCAAAAGCAATGGCCTCCAACCTAATTAGAGGCATAGAAGCGTGTTCTCTGATCAAACTAGGACACTAGGATAATTCTTCACAAGTCTTTAAACATAAGACACTCCACCCTTGCCCAATCTGCCTGCTGCAAAGGGCTTTGCAAATCGCCGGTGCCTGAAAGACATGCAAACTCAAGACTGACACAGGTCCAAATGCTCCATGAGACATTCCCGGGTGTGTTGTATTTCTTTTTGACGTTCGATCCAAATAGAAAATAGACTTGGCAAGGAATCGAAGTCGAATCGAAGCGTATGGTCTGAGTGCCGAGCATTGCACTCGAAGCACTTTGGACGAATCGATTCCGGATCATCCGTGCTGTAAGACGCAATGGAGGACGCCATTGCGTTGGTATAATATGATGAATTTGATCAAGCGAAAACAACAGCAAAGCAGTTGGTTAATTTTGACTGCATCTGCTTGTTCTTGTTTTGGACATATCGCCCATACAAATCTCACACCCTTCCCTTCACCGCAAGCGAGGCACACCTCCCGGTATTTGGGATCTCCGGGAGGTGTGCCTCTCTCACAGCGAAGGGGCACTTTTCTGGGTCCGAAAGCTGCGATGTGACGATGTGTGAGAAGCAAACTATATTAGACCCTTTCTGTTGAAGGCCGTAGAGGTAGCTAGTAGGGAGAGGTAGCTAATAGCTTAAGTATACTACCGACAGGATAGCTCACGCTTCTTCAAGGAAGCGCTCGGACTATTCAGTTGGTTCCTAGAGAAACTTAACTAATAGCGGCCTCCAACCTAGAAGCAATGAGAATTTATATAGAACGCTCCTTTTTGCACATGACATGTAACTTCGCACATCTTGGAACACTTAACGACTTCTAGATCAGCTTGAACACTCCGAGCTAGCAGCTTTTGCACCAAGCATTGGCAATCACTGCCTGCGCCTGAAAAAGCAACAAAGCATCCAGTCCCCTAGATGTCAAAATACGCAGTAGATCTTTGTCAACTGCCTCTTGAGCTACCTCTGCTGGAGCTTGTGCGACTCATCTCCCCTCCTCCCTCCCAAAATCTCCTCCGGTTGCCGGTAGAGCGCATGCAATGCGCCGGGAAAGCGCGGAGACTGCAAACTCTTGTCACGAGGCCTTGGCGGACCCCCACACGATCAAGTCAGCAAAGATCTCTACGTCAAAATGCCTCAACATCTTTAGCAAATGTGCATGCTATACAAGCAGCTAAAGTCTGCAGTGGCGGAAAAAGTGACGTTTCCAGGATTTAGGCGTGCATTGTGTGAACGTGTATGAGTCAAAATCATCAAACAAAAGTCCGGCAAGGCAAGCCCAGGCCATTGCAGCTACTGGTTCACTTGAGAAGCGGGAACAAAAGCGAAAGAATACTTTGCTCATTCGACCACCATCTGCAAGAGAATTACTATGAAAGTACTCTCTGATGCTTCAGTGCCAGTGTCGCTCGAACCTTAGCCTGGACAAACCTTTGTGTCGCTAAATCGATTCGTCCCAATTGCAATTCTATCAAAGTGGGTGGGGGTCGGTAGGTTGGTTTGTTCGCGGACTATCCAAACACTGCGGGAGAGTGGATGAAACACTTCCAGCAGTGGATTGCTCCGGAGTGGCAAGTCGGGGTGGGTTTCCGCGAACTCCGAAGGAGGTCTGAAGCTTGCGTTTGCGTTTGGGGACGCTCAGTGATAGTTCCAAAGGACCAAATTGATATAGAACTAATAGCAAAAGAATGCAAAAGAACCTAGTAGCGATGGCCTCCAACCTTCTAGTGACTCTCCTTGACAAGCAAATCTTCTTCTGATCATTGTGATTTCAAAAGGCAAAGTCAACAAAACCGAGTAGTTTCTCAAAAAAAATAGATGCATCTTTGTCTGTCTAGGCCACCGGACGAGAGATACGTAAAACGCGGTGACCGAGCTGGTGCATCGAAGAAGCTGGACAGGTGTTGCAGTGGCATCGAGGTTCCGTGGCACACGGAGGAGGAAGTAATAGCAAAAAGAACCTAATAGCAATGGCCTCCAAACTACTAGCGATGGCCACCCACCCAGAGCCAGGAGGAGTCTGACATGGGATGGATACCCTAGTTACACGGCGGCTATCTTGCGTCTATTTGTCAAGACAAAGCTGCAGCAGAAGCGCGTTGGAGGCCATCCCTATTAAGTTGGAGGCCATCGCTAGTAGGTGGGAGGCCATCCCTATTAGGTTGAAGGCCATCGCTCTTTGGTTGGAGGCAGAGTCCTACACTCCAACGACGAGGTTTCCTCTCATTCAACCATTACGCTCCTTGCAAAGCGGCCACCCAGCTTCTTGTTACACCTGAGCATTTTTGGCACCAAGCTTGGCCTCTCTGCAACCATTGAAGATGCCAAGCACGCTAAGGATCAATCACTACCTTTCACGCCCCCCAAGTGGACCCCTCCCATCCTAAATCGTTTAGATCTAGGTCCAGGGCTCTTGATCCAGCTTCCGTAAGTAGAACCTGGCTGTGCTCAATATGCATGGCACACATGGCACAAACGTGTGGCATGGAACACAAATGTGAGACTCCATCCCCTTCCCCTCTATCCCTTTCGCTTCTTCTTTTTGGGCGCAGTCTGGGATTTGAAATAATTTGAAACCCCAGCGGGCCGAGCAGGCTTTGGCGGCCCACTTCTCCCAACCAAGTTGAAACCAGCCAAATTGGCTGACAATGGTGAAGCACGTGGATCCCGGTACGAGACCCGGACATGAGGGCGTCAAGAAGAGCTTGATCAACTATCGAAACTACTGTGGATCTTTGGCCAGAAGTGGTGTGTCATGTTCGAAATCTACATCCACATATTGGTTTGGACAAAATACACGACAATCTTTGCCTCGATGTCCTTGTGCAGTGCGCTTCACAATCAAAGTCCCAGCCAATGTTGACAACTCGTTGTGGCTTTGATTTTTTACACAACACTCGTTGCTTCACCGGCTTTTTACAATGCCAAAGCAACAGTCCCTCATGCATTGTATCAACTCTTCTGAACACTGCCATGAAGCATTCTGGAGTGAAGCACAGCAGGATCCCCTGTCTGACACACTTTGTCGTGTTCTTTGCTTTCGGATTTCAAGAATCTGTACTGCGGAGTCACCATTCTTTTGATGATCGAGTTGCGCCAGGTTCATGGTATATTTGAGTCTAAACGATGTCAAGCTTCAGTGTATTGCGCGCAAACGTTTTAGATAGTCTTTCGATCCCGAAACGCACCTGATAGTCTTGCTGCACCTGTTCTTCTTGGCAAAAAAAACCTGTTTGTTGAAGTCGATTGCATCTCATCAACAGCTCCCGAGATTCCAGAGACCCTGCGACACCTAATGCACGGTGCCTTTTACGACACCCTGAATTGTCAAAAATGAAAATGTCGAAGACGGAGATGTCTCGAGAACATTCTCAAAGAAGGAAAGGCAGTCAGTGCCACTCTGGCCCTTTTGGTCCCAGAGTCGTGGAAACAATTGGTATGTTTCCAAAAGAAAGCCGCCGCGTGAGGATCAGCCCTTTCTTTTTTGGATTGCATCTCCTCATCCCTGCGGCTACAACTGTCAGTGCAAAACTGCAGTTGTTCATAGAGTGAGGCCAGGCCGTGTCGGTTTTTCAATCAAGTTTTCTACTCAACACTTCACACAACAAAATGCCATCAGGGCCACCGACATTAAGTATGTTGCAGAGTCCCTTCCGTAGGCCCCATCCAGTCAACTCATTGTCGCTTGTCCCAAGTTACACGGAGAGAATTTTCGCACAAATTCAAGCTTCATCAAGCTTCCTCATATCCTAAGCAAATGGCACGCAAGTGAGCTAAAGCCAGCAAATGAAGCCAAACTGGCGAAGGTTGCAGCTTGGCTCTGAAAGTTGTTGTGCTTTGCCTTCTCTTTGCCTACCTGCCAGGTGATGGTCTTTAGATCTTAACGCAGGTGGTACGCCTTCCTCCGTCGTCCGCTATCCTTTGCACACCATAGAGAGCGCCAGGTGAGGCCTGAGCACCATAGAGACCGCCAGGTCAGGGTGGGCACGCACGGACGTGCACACCATTGAGAATGCCAGATAGAAATGCCAAAAGAGATGCCAGAAAGAATGTCAGATGATATGCCAGATAGTGCCAAATAGAATGTCAAAAAAAATGATTCTGAGAATGTCGGTGCGTTTGCCATTCAGAGTGCCAAGTCAGATTTCAGAGCATATGCTGGAACAAGTGGCAGGCTTGATGGCAGAGCAAATGTTAGAATAGATGGCTGAGGGCAGAACACATGTCAGAACACATATCAAAACCAAAGTCAGACTATATGTCACAGCACATGTCAGACTTCACAGTAGGACAAATATCAGAACACAGCCCAGAACATGTCCCCGCCTTTATGATAGATCCCGTGTCGGAACACATACCACCAGACTTGATGCACATGTCAGGCAGCATTTGTCAGGATAGTCTGTCAATACATGTGCCCTGCCTTCCAAATCGCCTCTCAGAGTAGGGATCACTGGGATCACTCGAAGCAAAGTAATACTATAGACCCAACTTAGAACTCTTCTCTCGTTATCTGTTCTAGTTTGCTTCTCTCTGCAAGCTTTCTGCTGTGCTTGCCGTTTCATTCAGCCGCCCCACCGCTCACGCTATCGGACTCTGCCTACGCTGGCTACACTCACAGCGCTCACATGACGGCGGCATTCCGATCCTCGTCCAAATGTGTTTTCCAAACATATGGTCTTCCCAATATGAAAAAGTAGATGTTTAACAAAGTTCACAAAAACACACATTTTTTTTTTTAAAGAAACGTCATAACGTTATGATATCGATGCTACTACTCGCGGGGGGGAGCTTCTAGCGAGTTTTCCAGTGTGTTGGTCGGAGGCCTCCCCTGGCTTGCTAAGCAAGAACATACTCAACTAGCTAACACTAGCTTTCCTGTGTGTTTTCCTTGATAAGTTGATTCAAAAGGCATTTGTCTACGGGAAATGACGAATCATGAGCAAAATTGAAAAAATGTTCATCAAGATGTCGTCAAAAAAACGCAGTCCTCTTCATCCTTCAAAACCTTCTTGCGCGAAGCCAGCTCCGGAGGCTGAGACCTCACAACTGGAAACGAGAGGACTCCGAAAACGAAAAGCACAAAACGATACTTAATAGTAGCAATGGCCTCCCGCCTACCAGCACTGGCCTCCAACCTACTAGCAATGGCCTCCCACCTAC